AATAGGGGGGGGTGTACAAAGGTGTGTACAAATAGATTTTTTGTTTTGACCAAGTCTTTTTGGATTATGTGCTTCATCTTCTCCAACCTCTTTCTTTCTCAAGGAACAAATTTTTAAAAATTACACAGAAATTGTGATGCCAAATTATGTAGATTGTATAACTGTATAAGCTTGGAGGAAAATACATCTACGAATTTGATGAAGACTGCAATTTATGCTATCTCGTTCTTATTCTTTTTTGTAAGCTCGGTTGGTGGTTGCTTCTCTTCTCTAAATCACCTTGCACAGACCCGTCCACAATTTTATCCGTCTCGACGTTCTTCAGCTCTAGGGTTTCGAAAAACATTTCTTTGTATTTGGATGTGAAGAGAACTAACGGTGAACACTAACTTGAAAACACTAATAAAAGAGATTCCTTCCCATTAAAAATGAAAAAATAAAAATAAAAAAACCATGTGGTAAAAATTGAGGAAACCTCAGCTTGTGCGACTATAGGTAACCGACTAACCTATTCGTAACCTGTTAAAAAACGGGATTGGGTGTTTTCTTATAGTTCAGGGATTGGATTGAGTGATTTTATAGTACAATGACTTAATTGACATTTTTGAAATACTACATAGACCTATTTGACAGTTTTCCCTTAAAAGTTTAATATAACAACTTTAATATGTAATATTAATATCTAAGAAATGAGAATGTAACAAATATTAAAGGGGGTGTCAAAATGAGAAAGTTCAACTAATAATATTAATGACAAATGACAAAGTTTATGCTTGTTATTTACTTATATTTACATATATTACATGTAATTAATATTATTAAGTATATATATTAAAGTATTAAATATAAGTGTACTACTCATCTTATAGTGGTAAGCTTATATACTATATACTATAAACATTATATTATATATTAGTTACACTTTAATTAATACTTCCTCCGGTCCTAAATAAAGTTCACACTTTCTTTTTTGGGACGGTCCAAAATAAAGTTCACACTTCTTCTCCCTTCCTTATCTGGCAAATTATCTACATCAAAACAGTGCAAAATAGTGTCAAACAATGTCAAACAGTGTCACAATAGTGTACTCTACAATAAAGTTAAATTTATTTCCTTAATTTGTGTGAAGTCAAACACTGAACTTTATTTAGGACCGGAGGGAGTATTAGTTAAATTTATCTTATTACTTACACACTCACACTCCCATTAATTAGTATACATTCATACATTTTTCATTAATATTACAACACTTGTTAGATTAAAATATAAAAGTAGATGGAATTTAAGTTAATTAAATTGTTATAGTAGTTGCATTTTTAGTTAATTTTACTACACTTGTTAGATTAAAATATAAACGTAGTTGGAATTTTATTTAATTAAACTAATAAACTAGTTGGAATTTTAGTTAATTAAACCATTAAACAAGTTGGAATTTTATTAATTTTACTACACTTGTTAGATTAAATTATTAAAGTAGTTGAAATTTTAGTTAATTAAACTATTAAACTAGTTGGAATTTTAGTTAATTTTACTACACATGTTATATTGAATTATTAAACTAGTTGCAATTTTAGTTAATTAAACTATTAAGCTAGTTGGAATTTTAGTTAATTTTACTACACTTGTTAGATTGAATTGTTAAAGTAGTTGGAATTTTAGTTAATTTTACTACACTTGTTGGATTGAAATATTGAAGTAGTTAGAATTTTAGTTAATTAAACTATTAAACTAGTTGGAATTTTAGTTAATTTTACTACACTTGTTAGATTGAATTATTAAAGTAGTTGGAATTTTAGTTAATTAAACTATTAAACTAGTTGAAATTGTAGTTAATTTTACTACACTTGTTATATTGAACTATTAAACTAGTTGCAATTTTAGTTAATTTTAGTACACTTGTAAGATTGAATTATTAAAGTAGTTGGAATTTTAGTTAATTAAACTATTAAACTAGTTGGAATATTATTTAAATTTACTACACTTGTTAGATTGAATTATGAAAGTAGTTGGAATTTTAGTTAATTAAACTATTAAACTAGTTGGAATTTTAGTTAACTTTACTACACTTGTCAGATTAAATTATTAAAGTAGTTGGAATTTTAGTTAATTAAGCTATTAAACTAGTTGGAATTGTAGTTAATTTTACTACACTTGTTATATTGAATTATTAAACTAGTTGCAATTTTAGTTAAGTAAACTAGTTGGAATTTTAGTTAATTTTACTACACTTGTTAGATTGAATTATTAAAGTAGTTGAAATTTTAGTCAATTAAACTAGTTTAAATTGTAGTTAATTTTACTACACTTGTTCATTGTTATATTGAATTATTAAACTAGTTGCAATTTTAGTTAATTAAACTATTAAACTAATTGAAATTGTAGTTAATTTTACTACACTTGTTATATTTGATTATTAAACTAGTTGCAATTTTAGTTAGTTTACTACACTTGTTGGATTAAAGTATTTATTAAACTACTTGGAATTTTTCTTTAAATTTACTAGTTCACATTTTAATAAAATAACAGGCTTGGACTCAATGTGGGCCACCCGGCCCGGGAATCGGCCCGGCCCGCTACTGTGCGGGACCGGCCCGGCCCGGGAAACCGGGTCCGGTTCTGGTTCGGGTCTAGGCCTGGGGGGTCTACCGGTTCCGGGCACAGGTAAGGGAAAAGGGGAACCGACCCGGCCGGGCCGGGCCCGGTTCGGGCCTTTTTTATTTTTTATTTTTTTTGATTTTTTTGGTTTGGGTTGGGGTTAGTTGGGCTGGGCTGGGTATTTCCGAGGGGTTTGGAGGGTTGGGAGGGGGATGGGGGGTGGGGGGTGAAATAAATAAGAATAAAAAAAATGAACCGGAACCGGCCAGGCCAGGCCCCGAACCGGTCAAGACCCGAGCCGGTCTCGGGCCTATGGATACGGAACCGGCGGCCCGGCCCGGGCCCAAGCCGGCCCGAGTCCAAGCCTATAAAATAAGGTCACATTTTTATATTATAATCACATTACTTACATTTTAATATAAGTCACATTTCAAATAAATATACTTTAAGTCTGTTGGGTTAATGGCCTTCCAGGACCGGCCCATCAACCCCTGAAGCCGAAGAACCCAGGGACGTACGTGGCCCACCATAGTCAGGCCTCAAGGTTTAAGGGGCGAGGGGACGTACGTAGCCCGTCATAGCCAGGCCTCAGGGTCCGAGGGCCAGGGGACGTACGTAGCCCGTCATAGCCAGGCCTTAGGGTCCAAGGGCCAGGGGACGTACGTAGTCTGTAATAGCCAGACCTCAGGGTCCAAGGGCCAAGGGACGTACGTAGCTCAGTATAGCCAGGCCTCAGGGTCCAAGGACCTGGGGATTGACGTCTTGAGGGCTATACTTAAAGGTCCAGGTTGCCATCAAAGGGTTGAGTCCAATTTAGGGGACGGACGTCCCCTGAGTTATGGCGGGAAACCAGGATCTTGGTGGGAAGCGCATTTAATGCTGAAGATTTGGTATTTGGAATCATGTCGCCCACAGCCGGCCACTTCAGCCCCCCAACCACTAGGGGGTACTATAAATAGTCGCATTTATTTCATTGTAAAGGGTTCGCACATCGTTACTCTAGAGTTGTAATAGCGTCAGCAGTACGTAGCATATTTTCAGTACGTTCGGCCTTTCGGCTTGTAATCATAATATTGAAGAAAACGGTCATTTAATCCACCCCCGTTGATTTAGTGAGTTCATTTGCCTTCTACCCATTCGAAACCCCCAGGTTACGTGTTGGGCATGTGGGTTGAGGGGAATAAACCTTAACAAAGTCTTTAACTTTTTATTGTCTAGCACTCCTTGAATTAATTTTTAAACTAGATTTCAAAAAAAAAAAAAAACCGACGCGACCGAACCCGAGACCCGAGCAGGTAGCCCAACCCGGTACCGGGCGTTGAACACTTGAACCCAATCCCCCAGTCCCGCCCTGACCCGTCCTGGAGCCCGACCCGGACTTAGTCCATCCCTAGTGGAGTCTGGTTTGTCTATCATTGACTTGATTAAGCCCATAACAGCATCAATGAATCACATTGCTTCTATGGAGGTGATTGATTCTAAGTATGATTCTAGAACGAACATTCAGACATAAGGCTTGTTAGGCTTGTTATCATTTGTAACATGCTTACGTTCTTATCATGATTTAAGTAGGAGTGGACTCGGGTCAGGCCAACCGGCTCGCTACTATGCGGGCCTGGACCGGCCCGGTGAACCGATTGGTTGCCCGATTCGGGCCACCCGGCCCGGTGGGATGGCGATTCGGACTCGGGCCCTTCAAAAGGTGAACCGGCCCGGCCGGTTCGGGCCCGGGCCGGGCCAATTTATTATTATTTTTTTTTAATTTTTTTTTAACTTTTTGGGTTGGGATGGGTATTTTGGGCCATTTGAGGTGGTTAGGGTTGGTTTGGGGTGAGGCCGTGAGGGAGAGGATTGGGGGTTGACTAGGAAAACCCCAAAAAAAAAAATTAGAACCGAGGCCCAGCCCGGCCCGGGGGTTACCCGGGCCGGTTCCGGGCCTCCCCTTCATGAACCGAGGCCCGGCCGGGCCCAAACCGGAACCGGTCCACCCCTAGACTTAAGCCACTTTCGTTCATAAAAAAAACTAACTTTTAGTACGACTATACAAGTAATATTTTTGTCTTAGTTCCCATTAATTAATTACTCAAATAACAAATATTGTAAGACTTTCACGCTAAAGAGATTTGTTACTACAAGAAACACTATGAAGTTTGGAGTACAACAAATCAATAATTCATACACCAGCGCACTTCTGTCACATATTATGATGAGGTAAATACTGAATGGGCAAATCTAAGGAAGACGGGAAAAGTTAAAAGTTTGTCTGAATCTTAGGCCCGTAAGGACCGTTATGTTGACACCAATATAATATAATTAGCAGCATCAACTTTTACAAATGGCGTAAAAGATGCAATCTTCATAGTCTATAACTCTATTCATTCCAAAGCCATCTTGGAACATATAGGCCGCACAAAAGAACATTACTGAAGCAAATATTGTTACTTCCAAAGCTTGATGAGTTTGTCATGACTAGCGGAAGCAACCAAACCTGCAGCTGTAGATACAGCCAAAGAAGCTATTACTCCTTCATGAGCTGCAATGGTAATCGTCTTGTTCTCAGTCATGTTCCAAAGCTCCAGTGACTGCGAGAAATGAAAATAGCATATTAGAAGCACACCCTATCTACTCAATGGATAGTGAAATTCACACATTGCCTGAACTACATAATTGTCACATGGGTTGTGAAATTACTCAGTATTTTCATGGCAATATCACCATCCAATCTGATATTTTTATTGGATAACCAGTATCCCCACATCTGGATTGCAAGGGCATTCAGGATGTTAAGAACGCATGTTTATTCTACTTATTGTTGGGACTTGGGATCAGGAAACAGGATAGCAATATACTAGATGTTTCAATATGTAAAAAGAAGCAGACATTTTACTAATTTACTACGGGGTATTACACTAATACATGATTATCCACAATAATTCAATATCCATGTACTTTATATTATGCATATCATGTTATTTTATATTATGTCATGTTATCTAATACTCCCTCTGTCTCATTCGACTTTGCCAACTTTCCCTTTTTTTGTACCAAAAACTTTCTCACTTTCACATTAAAGTAACGCATTCAAGGTTCTGCTCATTTCTCTCTCCCAACACAAATTTCAACCACACAATTTTTGCTTTTCTTATTCCTCACCTAATTCAAAGTGTTCAATGTCCAATGAGACGTAGGTAATATCACTTTCACATTAAACTCTTTTTTCTTTCAAATACTTTTTTTAACTAAACATTAAATAAAACTTACATATCATATCATTGTTATACGTAGTACTCCCTCTGTCCCACAGATCTTGACCAAATTTGACTTGCACGTAGAATAATAAAGTAAAAACTGTATGATTGAGATTCGTAAAGAAGAAAGAGAGATTACTTTATCCACATATTTATTACGTTACATGTATATAGAAAAGTTTTTTAGAACAATTAAAAAAAGAAATATTTATGCAAAAGTTTTTTTGTGGAATGGAGAGAGTATAAAAGAATATACTGTATCGCGATTAACATTCATTTTTTTGTTTGTGTAATTTACCTTGCGCATTCAATACTATTTATGCTATACCTACCTATTAGAACTTAATATCGTTTTTTAATTGTTAGTTACTACGGAGTGCTTATTATACTGTTTAAAATTTTAAAAATACAAATATATATGGAGGGGCTTGAAAGGGGGCAAACCCCCACCGCCACTCCAAATTTTATGTGTATGAACTTATGTGCAAATATTAGCTTTTCGAGATTGTCAGACAACTAATTACAAATATGAGTTCAAACTAGTCTTGCCAAAAAGTTCCCCACCAAACGCGGTCATTTTGCAACTCACACCAAATGTAGAAGGATAAAATCACAAAAATATCATATTAGGATTTAGGAGGATCTAGATTGACCTGGTTGAAAATATTCACAAGGTAAGAAAACTTGCCTGATAACAGCCAATAACTAATAATGATGAATATGAAGGATGGAAAACGCATGAGTAAAATTTGTTGCCAGTTGAACTAAATTGGTGCACACATTCCCCTTCACCTCCAGATCCTAGCGTCCAGACTCTGACAGAGTCCTCACTAACAGATGCCAGAAGGTCTCCTGAAGGATCCCAACAGACAGAGTAGACAGGTTTTGTATGACCCTGAAAATATATCTAGATCAGGCACACCATGCTTCAAGAAAAAAATAATAGTGATGGCCTACGCTTACATGCTAGCAAAAGTAATTCACATTGATTCATAAAAGAAATTCAAAGACAATCAGTAGCATCTTTGTGTTGAAGAATAAACTACTACTTATATTGATAATACTGATGGCCTAAGCTTACATGGTCACAAAAGTCATTTGATGATTCATAAAAGAAAGTTAAAGGCAATCAGTAGACAGTAGCTATCTTTGTGTTGAAGAACAAACCACTACTTCTGTTGATATGACTTTGAACTAGCATCTTGATAATTCCTAGAGGCTATAACAATGCTTATCCATTTGTACCCTTTTTATATCATTGAAGAGGGCATGATGCTATATTATACTTATTAAGACTGATATCTAATTGTCAATATTACTACTTTAAGACTTTCCAATCAGGGACCACTACAATACAAGCAGCAGATTCTATGGATCGAATATTATACAAATAACTGCACCAAGTGTGCAAGGTCACATCAACCCCTGCTTCAAAGATTTCAAAGGCTTGAATAGTATGACCATTGGCCACTAGACCATGTTCAGCCATGTAAGGCATTGTAAGCACATTAATTTGGAAGGAAATAATTACAGGTAACTCACTGCTGCACAGTCACTCCACCAACAAATTGAAGTGGACTTTTATGTAGCTATAGTACAACTACCAGTTGAGCTTTGAATAGAAGACGTCAATAAGGCAAAAACAATGCACAAAGTTATATCTTGCATCTACGGTTCAAATAAATCAGGGCCCTCCCATTTTGACCAAAAACGAAGAAATAAAAGGGAGATAAAACTTTTGTGATAATTCATAATTGAAGACATTTCTTTGTAGTGAAAGTAATCGTTCATCGATTTCATTTAAAACTAATTTAAATTCATTAGCTTGGTAAAAAAATCTCATGGTGACAAGGAGCTTCATGTTCATGCATATAACTGAAGGCTGGGCTAGAAAACGATGGGCAACACTCACCAGTCACGATGACACGTTTCTTTAATGATTCCTTTCTCATAGCAAGAGAAAATTCTATATTCAATATGAGATGCTAAAAGTAGAAAGTGAAGCATGTGTTGTGGTACATGCTAAAGCTCTGATGATAAACCATAATACACTTACTTTTAAAGAATGCCGACATGACTGTGTCTCCACATCAAATATTGATACAACATTCTCTGCAGCAGCAGCAATAAACCTACCAAGACGAGGTTGAAATCTCACCTGGTTCGTGCCACCCTATTCCAATTCAACATACATTAAATATGTAAGGTCAAAAATATTTTATATGCAGGACTGGAGACCAAAATGTTCATTGAGTTGCACCTAACATTTACACTTTTTTTGTGGGGGGGGCAGGATATGTAACAAAAGGGAATGAAGAAAAAGTCCTACTTCGAACACCCCTGTGCAGCTACCATTTTTTATGCTCCAGTATCTGATCTCCCCATCCCCATCACAGGAGCATACCAAATCTTCTTTAATGGGGTGGAAATCTAACGACATTACAGTAGCAGAATGCCCAGTGAAATTACGGAGCGAGTAGCCAGGCTTCATGGAAAAGAACAAGAGATCAAATTAGAACTTAGAAGTACTAAAGAAGTATTTGACCGAGAAGGCGAGAATGTTGCAACAAAATCAAGGATAAACCGGGAAAAAAATGAACAGTACAATGATAAAATTCACTTCGGCTTACACTGTCAGTATCCCAAACCCTTACAGACTTGTCAAACGATGATGTTGCAAGGTGGGACATGCTTGGGCTGAAACGAACATCAGTAATAAGTGATGAATGCTCTTCAAGAGTCGTTTTATGCTTTAAGGTATCTGTGTACCACAATACAGCCTACACATTTAAGCCATAGTTATTGATACAACATCACTTAGTGGCATTAACCAAATTGCGACTTAGGGGTGCAAATGTTCACCTTTTTATCATGGCCACCACTGGCAAGCAGTTTCCCATCTGATGACAAGTGGCAGCAGCTTACTTTACTGGCACTTGCTCTAGCAGAAAGCACTTCCTTAAATGTAAATCCTAAAATTACAAGCTGAAATCAAACCCGCTCCAATGGATAGTTTAAACTTAAACTGCTACTGAAAGCAAACTATATTCATGTCTGTCCAAACTTATCGAAGTTCCACATTCATGAACCCGCAAGTAAGACTGTTCAGAAATCAACGCACAAGTATCATGTAGTTATGCAAAGTTAACTAAAAAGAGCTACATCACTTATTTGGAGAATTCGTAAAAACATGTCGGAACCCATTCAGGAAAAAGGTAAATATAATATAGAGAATACAAAAAAGCACAACCACAAAAAATGAATCCATCAACACTAATTTGTGAGTGACTTTATTACAAAAGTACTTTCATAGCTAGTCGAGAGAATCCAAGAAGTGAAGTGAGTAGACTCATCACAAAGATACTTCCATAAGAACTAAGTGAGTAAACTCATCACAAAGACACTTCCATAAGAACCATAGCTGCTCCAGAGAATCGAAGAAGCTCCGTTTTAAATTGGTCTAGCTTAGCCCAAAAAAGATCCTCATGTGATAAGATTTACAACACACTTGTATACTAAACATAGATAAACCATCACCGCCCTAAGAATTAGGTGGCCCTATCGAAAAATAGTTATGGGAAATATAATATCCTTTTTACTTCATTATTCATTTATTTATGTTTTTTCCCTCCACATAGCCTTCATACATAATGTGGAGTAGCATATTTTGCTTGATTAAAACAAAAACAACATTACTTACTTGAAATTAGTCCACATATTGTAATTTGAAAAAGTATGCAAAATAATCATATTAAAACCCCATTGGTGAGCTCCTGCGTGAAGGTCACATCTTCTGAATTTTTGTTCCACTTTGTCTTGTGAATAAGAGTCAATATTTTTTCATAAAATCTAACACACAAAATAGAACTACAAACAAAGTCAATATGAATTATTTATAGAAATATTTTAGTCTGTAATGTTTTTTTCTAAGTTCATTACTCACATTTCTACTCGCAATAATCATTGATCAAGTTCTCAAAATCAAGATTTTCTAGTGTCTTCTTTTCAATAAATAACATTCTACAATACATATCTAACATTTAAACATAACTCAAAAATCTAAAAATGATTCAAATTGAAAATATTTTAAGACAATAAGGTATCAAATAAAACCAAATATTGTGAGATGCTCAGTTGTGGCCTAGAATAGAGTGAAGTTAGTGAACAGGGTGTTGCAACTCCATAGAGTGGCCACTGGCGACGAAGTCATTTGTGTTGCGCCATTGTAAAGAGACCATAGAGCAAGAGAAATTAGAGATCTATAGAGATTGAGGCTTTTGTTAAAGGCCTCGGTACAAGACCTAGTCCAAATTCGCTGAAGGGAACAAGGATTAGAATCTATGTGTTTGAAATAAAAAACCAACTTCCCGTCCCGAGCAAGGAAGGTAATCCGCAGTTTCACTACGAGATAGAGAGAACAATAATTCAAGGCTAAATGTTTTAATCCAACTAATAAGAGCCTTATATAGGCAAACGACAAGAATCCTGAAACAATAATAGGAAAGAGATCTAAACAACTATAAACCCATAATAACTAAATGACTGCAATAAGAAAGCTCATACAGTCATAACTAAGAAAACTTGGAACCCAATTCACTTGGGCTCATTTGGCTGTGGCTTCCTGTGGTGCTCGTGGACTGAGAAATATTAACTACTTTACCCTTTAGTATAGCTAAAGGTGTTGGCAAAATAGGCCTAATGTTTTTTTTTGTAAAATCTGATGACCAGATGCATTGGCTTTCAGCTGCATATGCTAAAAAGCAACATTAAAATAGACAAACCAATGGGCCAAAACGATCCCTGAACAAAGGGCAATGGGCGGACAACTCCCACAAACCACCATCAAATCAGACTCTGCTACCACATTCCATTGGGCCTAACTCACACCATGAAGAATTAAAATGTGGTGGGGTTTAACCTCACACTTACATACGCCCCTACAAACCCTATAAACATTGGCGACATGACTGTGTGGGATTCTTAAGACTTCCCAATAATAACCATTGTTAAGACCACAAATCATATGCTATAATATATAGATGCCTAGTTGGCATGGGCTCATGGCGTAAGGCGACCATCATGGCTCCAAGGCAGTTTGCCATGGCAATGGTGCATTTATGAAGTCAACACAATACACAAAAAATATGAAGTATAAATATGAACTATAGATAATATTATTCTATGACTTAACCGCCACTAGAAGAGTTCACTAATGAAATCCAAATAAAACACATAGGGAAATCATAATAGCACCAAAAATAGTCCTAATCAACCACACTTACCGATTTAATAACCATATAGTGGCTTCTTGTCACCGCACAGCCTCACACCTTATTTTTTTAATATGCACCATGGTTGTTCATTCATTGTTAGCTGTTAATTTTTTCTTACGCCTTGTGATAGAAATATGAGAGGTGCCGATAATATGGCTAGGTTGGGTGTTAATCTATTAGGGGTTTTTATTCTATATTGTGGTCTAAGTCTTGATCTTAACTGACAAATTGTAAAATGGGGTCAACTGGTCAAGGCCCTGTTTAATATGGGCCTATTGAATAAAAAAATATGGCTCAATTAAAAAGCTTTCCAAAATATGCTGCAAATGGGGCCGATAATACCAACGGCAGTAGCACTAAAATGACGCACTCAGGTTTTCTGATCGCCAGGGACTGGTTTTCTGGTGATGGACTCATAAAAATGAAAATGGCGACAAAGAGAAGTCACCATTTGCGCCATTGATTACCCTGGGTAGAAGTTATACCAACACATACTGATGCATCAAAAGCAAAGACCTAGTTAAGCTTGCTAACACAAATGGCATACAAACCAGAACTAATGCTCAATAGTATTTCCCAGTGACTATGTTTTCAGCTAGCATAACCAACTTTGTCTTCATAATGAGTATATCAACTGTTGTATTGCTCACTTTTAAGCAATTCTCTTTGGGGTCATACTTAAAATTCCTGCTCATGGCGCAACATTGTGGCAGTTGGCTACTCAAAGTGTACATTCGCGAGCCTTGTCTTCCCGTCTTGGTAATTGATGTATTCTGGGAAAAGATCTTGAGGGTGGATGAATAGATCCAGATGTTCAATCTCACAGAAGATGATCTCTCAAATCTATTTCTTTCTATCTCTTGTTGCTTGCTTGAAAAGCACATAACCTCTGCCACTTGACCTAACCCATTAACTTTTTAAATCTATTCCAACCCATATCTTAATACTAGACCATTTCATTTCAAATCATTTCAGACAAAACCTACACATATAGCAATCATAAGCAATTTTCCTGATTGTGTTCAACTTCATAAACACGACACATTAACAGAACTGTTTCAGTTCTTAGGTAACTACTTGAGCATGTTTACACTCAAAACCCAACTGTAGAATAAAAGTTCACAGAAAATAAAAGGAAAAGGAAAAATTGGAGATTTAAGAGAACTTGTTAGAGAGCGGGAGGCAGTTGGGCCGAGGCTCCAGGAGGAGGCAACTGGGCCGCTCCTTCAGGAGGACGGGCCTCGCCCATTATTGGTTTACCGTCGCCGCCAACGGGCCTAGATGGGATGGATTGACGGCTGGGTTTTATTACTTTATATCATTCAATTGTTAGTTCTAATAAACTGTTGGGCCTAGATGGGCATATTTTATTATTAGGTTACTGGGCCTAGATGGCCATATTTTATTATTAGGTTAAGGAGTATTTAAGGAGGTCTGATCTTGTGAACTAGGAGGGATTATTGAGAATAAGGATTTGGTTTGAGCCTAAGGCTGGGACAGACGTTAATATCGTCTGCTAGGGTTTTCTGCTTCTATCAGAACTACATAAGTAATTGTGAAAAAGTTAAGGCTGTTTAAATAATTAAAGCTGTAATTTAGATGATATTATTTCTAACGCTTGTAGAAAAAAGGGACAGCTGTACAGCCTGTACTAAAAATAAGCAAGTATTTTTCTCTGATTTCGAGCTGCTAAGACTCTTCCCAACAGTAATGTTGAAATATAATGAAGGATAAAAATATTTAGAATATAGAAGACTGAAAATATGGGGACCGTTTTTCTGTAGCTGGAGATGGAAAACATTCCAAAAAAAACAGAAAACGTCTTTATCATTTACGTTTTCCAAATTTAGAAAAAACAGAAAACATGTTTATTTATCAGTTTGTCAAATTTAGATCTCCAAATTTGCAGAACTTTAAGAAAGCTAGAATTTTTTCCCGTGTTTTTCAAAAGAAAAACAGATCAGTGATGAAGGGAAGTGTGGAAATTTAGAAATTTAAATAATATATAGACGTACAAAAATAAAGCAACTTTAAATTTAAACTATCAGATACCTCATTGAAAGATTATAGAGAAGCATATGGGTTTTTACACCTTGGGTTAGACTTGCTAATAGACTAGATCCAATATTCTGGTGAGGTCTCCAAGTGCATTCTACCAAAATTGAGCACGGCCCTGACCCAATAATGAATGCATACCATGATACCGATATATCAGTAAAGGTCTAGCCCACTTCGACTTCCAAAAATCTTCTAGAAAACCCTAGAGGCATTATGGCTTAGTTGTTTGTTAGATGTCTGTTACCAGTACCGGTGACATTCAAACTTCAGTTTCCGAGTTAGGAGCATTAACTTCATATGTCTACATTGGAGGTTAAAAGGAAGTATATGGCTTTACAAGGTTTGGGTTAGGCTCCAAATCTATTGTCTCATGCTTAGACAGATAAATTCAAAAAAATGATGCTATCATGGACTCAAAGGAAGAAGTTAAATTTGGGTAGTTGATAGTTTGGGTTTAATCTTGTAGTATGGTTTCGCCCAAGTAGATTATGGCCCAGTCAAGAGAAACCAACTCAATCATCAAGTTTATCAAGAACCATAGAGTTGCACATTCTGATTGGGTTTAGGCTCATTATTTCTCTATATAAGCATTGCCATAGACGTTAAATTATTCATTAGAAAGTTATATATTTTGAATATTATTTCCATCAGAAACAGTTAAGGTTATTCACGTATGCAGCTTACGAATTATTAAAAAAAAAAGTATGCAGCTTAAGAATGGTAACGGTGGAAATAGAATGAGGCAAACAAAAGTTCTTATGATTCAAGAGTTCGTGATTTTTGTTTAAAGTGTTCAAAACTATAGCAATCAACTATATATAAATGAAATAGCTAAACGAAATAGAATTATATGATTTAAGTTGCACTTGATAGTACAAAACCAAGATCTTAAGCTAAAAACACAAGCAGCCACTACCTTACCTTTACCAACATCCATACCACGCTCAGATGTATCTCTAGGTTCCACATCATCTTGAGATAAGAAAGACTCAACATTATCATCCAGAGAACCATCATCTACAAATCGATCAATATCAGTCTGAACAAGATCTTTGTCACTCCACTGCCAAACATGAAGGTTGGATTAGAACTGGTGCAACTATCATTCTACCAAAGTACCAAGGATTTCATCTAACAAAACAGGAGACATTGATTACGCCTACCAATTGGTTTGACGGTGATGTACGATTGCCATGATTTTCTGATCCAAACATCGCCAATGGTTTTGACGAATTACCACTTTGTTGCAAGGCAGTTATAGACATTACATCACTAGGTGTTTGGGTAGACGGTGTTGAGGGAGCTGAACTAGGAGAAGGTCCAACTGTGTTTCCAGTTCCAGAGCTATTGACAGCACCCGAAGATGACCCATGCATCTTTCTCTTTCTCATGTTCTGGTTTTTTGAAGCCTTGAAGTATGAGAACAGTCATGTTAGAAATCTGTTAAAAATGTATGGTTTGCTTGGATGCTCATATAACTGTTAAAATACGGAGGCCAATAGATAATGAAACTAAAACAGGACCCAAACAATACATGAAGTCCAATTTTGCAGATGATCATCTAGCCAGTAAATCGTACCTTCTCAGCAATAGGACAGAATTTTCAGTCTCATTTTTGGTGCATTTGATGTAAATCCCATTGGCGACCGTGGTTCTATTATTGTATTCTTATTCTTTTTCTGAATAACCGATGACTTCTGTATCAAATCTATCTTGGCTTGTCAAAACATTTCCACCCTTATTCAGTATCTTGATTTGACAAGCCAAGATAGATTTGATACAGAAGTCATCGGTTATTCAGAAAAAGAATAAGAATACAATAATAGAACCACAGTCGCCAATGGGATTTACAGACTCGCAAGTATTGACAGAAAAGAAGAGGAGTTGAACCACAGACCATTAGCTGATTTTAGCTCCATGTTTATTATATACTTTTTGGGGTTCGTAGAAAAATTTGAGCTCTTTCTCTTAATTCCACTTCTGTCCAATTCTACATATTCTTCTTACTAGTCATTAGCCAAACTAACTCTTCTCTTATTATATTTAATAATTTAATAATAATATTCTTTTAATAATTAGTTCATCTATATGTGATTAATAGAATGTTTATGCAGCTCCTAGACCTTCAAACTTTACTCGGTAAATCTAAAATAAATATTACTCCCATTGCCCCAATGTCCCATAAAAATAGCCCTGTTTTGAGTATCTTTTTGTCCCAAAAATAAGTGTCCTATAAAAAAGTATCCTATTTCAAAAGAGGCTAACGATCATTGAAATTGCTGCAATATGTTGCAAAAAAGTAAAATACAAATGCATGTATGATTGAAAATTTACTAAACTTGCACCTTACAAAACTAAAAAGCAGTACCTTAAGGGTGTGTCCAGATCAATTGAAGGGAAGGGAGGGGTGAGAGAGTATTGTTATTTGTTACATTGTTTGGTTTAGTTGGAGAGGAGGGTTAGTTGAGGGGAGAGGAGCAGAAAGAAGGGAAATGTAGTTGAGTTTAGCCTTCACTCATCCCCCCTCCCAAAAAAAATTATCCGAATGAGGGGAGAGCAGTACTTCCCCTCCTCTCCTCCCCAAAAGTAAAAAAAACAGAAAAACCATAATGAAACATTTATTTTGGGAAGAGAAAGGTACCAAAAAAATACAAGAAAATAACTTGGGTCAAGCTGTGATAAAGTTGAACACATAAAATGAGATGAAGGGGGTACAACATTCATCATCGGACCAAATCTTTTACTTACTGTGAGAGTGTGAATGAACTATATTCAGTTCATGAACCATTTCCCAAAATTTACAACTAATAACATAAAATACTATATATCAAAGCAAATTGCTCAGTCACAAGTCATAATTAAAGAATGAGTGGTATTCGGTAACATGATTTCAGTTAAATACTACTCCCTCTGTCCCAAAAAAATCTTCCCACTTGCCATTTTAGGATGTCCCCAAAAATTCTTCCCACTTACCATTTTTAGAAAGTTTTGTGTGGCTAACATTCATTTACCTTTTTCTTACTCAATCACAACCATACATTTCCACTTTATTCCACTTGCTTAATAAGTGTGCCAAGTCAAAGTTGGAAGTATTTTTTGGGACGGAGGGAGTAATAGGTTAATAGAAAATTTTCAAATGAATCAGATATCAAAATAAATGGGAATAGAAAGACCTCATTTCCACGAAAGGAATTTGAAACCATAGCATCCCCAGTGCCACTCTCAGTTACTATAATCTTATCTTGCTGAAGACTGCTATTAGAGCTTTGAGGTTGCTGACCAGAAAGTGTTTGTTGAAGCTGCAGTTGCTGCTGCTGCTGTTGTTGTAATTGAGCCAACTTCAACTAGCCAAAAACAAGTGTTTTTTATTTAAAGGACTACACTAAAAGGGGAAAGTGCTCACTTCCAAACACATCTCAGACTGAAACAATGTAGGTTGAGAGTCCATGTACCATTGTGCCAAAATGAAATGAAACAGAACAAAACATAATTGGCACCTTGATTATCATGTCTGGATCACCCTGCGGCAGCACAGAGCAACCAGCCCCCCGCAAAGGTGATTCAATATTTTGAACATCGCCCACAGGATTTGAGAGGTTGTCTTTCCCAAAGGTCACATTTCGGCTATTGAGAAGCATTCTAAGCCTTCTGGCCTCAATATCACTGGAAGAGGGTGAAGCCAAGCTTTGCTGTCCAAGCATTATCTGTTGTTGCTGAGGTGAGAGCATTTGTAGTTGGTGAAATTGCTGAGACCCCTGCATGAACGACTTTTGTTGCTGGAGAGCCCCAGATCGAAGCTGGTAATATAGCCAAAAAAGACAACATGCACATCAAAAGCGGGTAAGGGTGAAAATGATTTGACAAGCCAAGATAGATTTGATACAGAAGTCATCGGTTATTCAGAAAAAGAATAAGAATACAATAATAGAACCACAGTAGTGAATGGGATTTACAGACTCGCAAGTATTGACAGAAAAGAAACGTGAAGTTGTGCAAGGCATAGCAAAAAAGTAATGAAAGACTACCTAGAAGGCGACAATTGCTGAAGGAAAAAATGAGGGACTTGAACAATGAACAGTAATGCTGTATAAATTTTAAAGATTAATGCCCTCTAGCTCAACAAGATCTGAGTTATAATCAATTTTGTGGGAGTTAACTTTCAGCATTATAGAAGTGATATACCAGATAGATCTTGAATACCAAAATCCCTCGATATTCTTGAGTAATAATCATTAGAGAGAATATAACATGAAAGTAAAGACTTTATGCAAGTGCTCTTAGAATCCCTAGCAGGATGTCTGTAATAATTACATTGTAACTACGTAGTATCATATTTTCTAAATTGAGATACATGAATGGAAATTCAGAAATTCCATTATCAATGTAAAGTTCAAAAGAGATTTATTAGAATACCATTTTGGGATTAAGGCTTGGATGTTGTTGTATTTATTAGAACATCATTATGTAAAAGGATATCTTATCAGCATTTTTAAGCACTTTTAAGCATTAATAAGCACTAACTCTTACTTCACATAATGAAACTAATAGATTAGCATTCAATGAGCTCGTCTATAGTTCACCTTCACCTTCAACTGATGCTTCTCAAACACTAGTATAGAAAAGTCTTGTAATAGTAGGGGAAGCATCAGAGAAGATACAAGTAAAAAGTCTCAAGATGACACCAATTTATGATCCGCCTTATGATGACTGCATTCAGGTAAATACAAATATACAATCTTATTGGAATATAAAAGAAGTAAAAAAGGTATGTAAAAGTTAGGCTGTGACGCAATGGAACATCAATTATGAGAAAAGTAAGTAACACACGTCTACAGCAGAAACCTACAAAATACAAATGGTAAGGCACCAACTTCACCAGATTCTCAAAACCCAGAGACATGCCTAGACATACTGTACAATTTGACTACCACACATTAGTTCCGAATGTAAACCACAATACAGTATAATAAGAAACCGGAAAACAGAATGAAACATCATATATTTAAGAGACTTACTGTCAATGGCCACCCCTTCAATGTCAAGTTGTTACTCCCTTGATTAGAACCTGAAGCATAGTAGATAGGTTAGAACAGTGCTCACAGATCGAACATTCAATAAAACTATAGCCATTAAGTCCCATTTACAATTCTCATAAGAACACATCTAAAAGACAGGTTCCACATTTCATGGTGAATATAGTAGTTACAAGTTTTTATTAAATGATAAAAGGAAAAAAGAACTGGACATATCTGAGTACCAGGTATTCCAATCAGTGATCCTTCAGGTGCAGCAGTTCGAGGGTTCAGGATGGTATTAATTTCTGTCTTCATGTCCTGGCAATACAAACACAATTTAGAGAGTACGAGCTATGAATTTCCTATTGATGGAAAATAATCAGTTCTCACTAGAACGGAAAAGCAAAGGAGAATACTAACAAGTGTAGGCCCAGGAAGTTGCTGGCTTCGAGCCTGAACTTGTGGGGACATTCCATTAGCTGCACCCTGCACCAGTTGTCTGAAAGAAGAACCAGCTTGTAAAGATTATACACTCGGTTAAAATAAGAATTAAACAAAAGTGCGAAATAAATATAATTATAACAGAATAGTCATGAAGAAATTATTTGAAAAGAGGCATCAACACATTACTATATGAATTACAAGTTACAAAACCAAGAACAGAACCGGTTGCAATAAAAAAATGCTAGATATGCATGTTAAAATGTTTTTGGTGTATTTATTTTTAAATAAGGCGTAAGCCCTAATCAGTTTTCTAAATATACAGTGCAGAAATTATATATAAACTCAATCATCATTATACATTAAAACAAATCACAATAAAATCATCAACATCCTGACATCCACCTCATGTGCTCTTTAGGCAAATAAATCAGGAAACAGGCTGCTGGATACTAGAGGTCCATACCCTGAAGGCTGGCCAGCCGTTGATGCCGCAGTTTTCAGAATCGATGAGTGGTTTGGATCCAGCAGCTGACTAAAATTATCGCCAAATCTTTGCTGTAACTATATGCAAATTATATTAGTGGTGAAAATAAGCATTCATATTTTTCCACACCTCATACAACTTCTTTTCTTTTACCTTCAAAGCGCCATCATCTGAAGATTCTTTTTGGACAGATAGCTTTAACCTTTCCTCATATGCTTTTGTAGACAATGCGTTTGCACCATGATTGTGTCTTATTAGAGAATCATTTCCTACAACCCCATTAGCTGTGCCATTCAGAAGATTGCTTCCATCCCTCTGCTGTTGTTGTTGTGTATGTTGTTGTTGCTGCTGTTGTTGTTGTTGAGCTTGCCTCTGCAACAGTAGCTGCTGCTGCTGCATTTGTAATTGCTGTTGCTGTTGAGGATGCTGTGGTTGGCTGGATTGCTGCTGTTGCTGCTCCCTTACTTTCATCATTTGAGTCTGCGCTTTCACAATTTTCTTAGTGAAAAACTGCATATGAATATGGGAAACTGCCATAAATAGAAACAATACATTGTTGATTTCAAGGTTGTTAAACTCAAAATCCTAGCACGGATCAGAAGAGGATAGGTAGATCATAACTTGGGGATCGTAACTCGGATTGTAAGATCCTAGCATCAAAGCTACTGTGTAATATTAATAAAACATACATCTATAATAACTTATATTTAAACTTCTTCAACTCACCCTTAACCATTAATAACTTAAATAACTTCATGACTATAAAATAAAACTTATTGTGGATATTAAGAGCATAAAAATATGTGTCTTAGTTGTGAATATGAAGAGCTGGTATTGGAGGGGATAGTGAGAGAAAAATCATCTAAGAAAAGAAACAGAGGCCAGAGTTCCAGAAGAAGAAGAATGTACGCTTGTGGGAAATAATTCAGGAGGTGAACCACTGCTTTAAAAGACAGACTTATAAACTAACCAGGACTTTTACGGAGTAATAAGTTCTGCTTAAGACATTTATACTAACTAGGGCATTTGCGCCCTTGGAGTTCCTTTGCATCTTTTGAAGTTCCGATGTCTAAGGCTTTTTCCATCGTTCTATCAAGCGCAGATCGATGTGGCACGCCGATCCAGCGTATTTACGCTCCAGCTCGTAGATCCCACTGTTCAGCCATAGTTTCCAATCATAAGCACAATCCAGGTCGCCCAAAAACATCTTACTCATAATATCGGACGATCTTATGAGTTGACATACGATCTTAATTCTTAGCAACTTTGCAATATACTTTGTGAAACAATAAAAGTGTTATTGATGAACCTCAATGTAGGATGCAGCAACATCTGAGTGCTTCTCATTGGTCCGGGCAATAAATATATCCCAAAATACTGACCACCATTCAAATAGAAAACCACCAGGGGCATCAATTGCTGAGCAGTGGCAAGTGAAAATGATCAGAGCTTTGGACAGAACATAACTCAATCATGAAAATGATCTCACTGTATATATTCGCATTAAGCTTACTGAAAAAACTTACCGACTGGGTCAGATGAGACTTTCCCTTCAGCTTGAAATGCTTGAGCAGAAACCTTTAAATCTCTCTTCAGTAAGTAATCATGAATATACACATCTAACCTGTATTAGACATCCCAAAAAAGTGAAAGAATAGATTTGATATTACCGTATGAACTCTAACTATTAAATACCTTATAAATAAAGCCATTCCCAAAAAAACATTAAATAATTACCCGATTATACTGTATAACAAAAAGTCAAAAAACATTTTAAAAAAAGAGTATGACCATTTTCTCTCTGAATATGCATGCACCACAAGTAACTTCAAATGAGGCATGTTTTATTTACAAGTAAAAAGAAATGGGGAAAAAATAACCATTAACATTTGATCATTAACAATAAGATTCGGATGGCCAAAAGGCCCAAAATAGTCTTGACTCTTGAGAAAGATAGAATCACAGAGCGCATCCAGCTACCAAATAGTCTACCACTACTCGAATTAGAACCTACTTCGATCCAATGGACATACTAAAATGTTGTTTAGATTAGGGCTAAGTTAACTCAGTAGGATGTAGTAAGAGGTTTATTGGGTGGGCAGCTAGTGAACATGCCAAAATTAATTATTAGAAGAACTAAACTTACCAGAAAATCAGATTAGGGTTAGTGGAAGTTTCCAAAGAGAGAGTAAAGTTGAATAGCTGGAGATAAAAGAGAAGTGCAAGGTAGTACGGTAATACCTAAGTATTACATACTCGATTACCCAGAACACAGATTTCACAAAAACTGCTTAATTGCACATTTAGAGAATCAGAAACTGATAGATGAGGAACATATGTTTGAGCCTAGTAATAACGATAGCAAAAATAATAGCAATAATAACAGTAATTAGTTACGAACATACATTTTATCAGCTTCCCAGTTTGTCTGTGACATGGTTGCTCAATCCAATTCAAACTAGTGGAACAATTCCGAATAGCAGCAGGTTAACCTCTCTGCTTCTTCTTCTTCTTTGTTTCAGCTTCAGCTTCTTCTTCCAGACAGAAAAAGGAATATCGAAAAGGAGACAGAAAACAAAAGAGGGGTTTTTTTTCTTCACTTTTTGCTTATTTATTGGGCCCTTTTCATTTCATTGGTGTGTTTTTCGTGCGAATGCAATTTGCTTTATCCTTTTTTTCTTTTTTCCTTTATATATATTCCGCTGGCCGACATTGCTGTGGATTTCCCAGGAATGAAAAATTATTTTGGGACATCCGCACTGACATAAGGAAAGTTGGAACTATAAATGGGGATACAGAATATCATCGACCACTCAACTACCTTACCTCAAATTACAAATTAACACCTAAAAAAAATTAATGGACTTTTAAATTCATAGTGTTTTTTACAAATTAACACCTAAAGTTAAAAATCAATGGCCCTTTTAGAAACGCATATTTGGTGTACTTTTTTTAATCCATAAACTTTTAAAAAGTTAATGGGCTTTTAAATTCATAGTGTTTTTTATGAATGAATTCTATTGACTTTAAAATCCATATATAATTTTATAGACTTTTAAAAAGTCCATGGATATTTAAATCCGGACCATCACTGCTGGGTCGTCGAAATTATCACCTAGATCGTCGCTACTGATCTGCCTTTTCGTCTCCGTCACCAGAGTTCCCTGTCGTCGTCATTAGACTGATCCTTCACTAATAAAATGTTTTTGGTTATGCAATGGAACTAGTGGGCCAGTGATAATTAATTATATTAATTAATTAACTTAGAGTTACAAATGTAATATTTAGTTCTACTTAAGGAAAACCAAACATATGATCATACGTTGAGAAAAATACTATGTTTTAATCATATCGTGACTAATTTCCTGTATATAATATGATAAAAAACAATTAAATAAATAAATGAAACAAATATAATTCACCTAGCAACACAGGATTCTACACAAGAATAAATGAAGCATAAGAATCCAAATTTATACGTAGTATTTATTAAAAATAAAACTCAAAATTTTGAGAAAGTTCAACTTGTTGCATGTGGTGCCAGCATGGATGCAATCGCGCTCTTCTTCTTAATAATGATTTTCTTTTCATTTTTGGCTTGTTAAATCTTGTATACTTATTTACGGATAAATATTTAATAATTTTTTAAATTATATTTTTATGTGTTAGTGGTTTAACGATGAAACACAATAATATAACAAAGTAATACTATCGATTTTTATATCGATTCTTCTAAAAACTTCTAGAACCAAATCGATATAGGATTAACGGCTATTCAAATGGTTCCTAATTTTCTTTCAAGAATTGAACCGATCTCACCCGTACATTTTTTTGTAAGACGACATATAAAATATCGTTTTTTCGCTTTTTAAAAAGTTTATCTTGTGTATCAGTATCAATGTAGAATCTTCTTGTTCAACTTTATTTATTGTAAAATGATAAAAACATCAAAATTTATTGAGACCATCCCGGTATCCACCTCTCGACCTGACCGATACTAGTTTAGGACTTGTTGGCTCGATTGTGATCTCGGGTAAATAATTAGCCAAATCTGCAACCAGGTGTATGCGTACTTGTGACGAGTAGAAAACAACAGAAAAGTTCGCGGAAATCTTGGCGATGAGAAGAGACAACTGCAAGGAATTAATCAACTAAGAATGAGTTAAAAGTGCATGAGAATTCATGATTTTAGAAGTCAATGTGAATGAACGGAAGTTTAAATATGTCTGGTTTTTTATAGACTTTTAAAAGTCTACATTTAATACACCTAGACATTTGTAGACTTTTAAAACTCCACACTGAATACACCTAGACTTTTAAAATCCATGAACTTTTAAAATCTTGTCATTACCTAATACAATACACCCACGTAGTCATCTAGCAAGATACGGAGTGTCAAATGTTCTTCAATAATCTATGGAAAGTCAATTAAGGGAGTTTTGCAACAACAAAAACTTAAAAAGGTATTCTTCAATTTTTGACTTATATAAATAAATTTAAATGAGTGCTTTGAAATGACTGTTTCAATCTAAAATAAACACTTAAAAGCTAAAAAGATGAAAGCATAAGATGAAAGTTATAAAAGTATTTTTTATCTGACACTATCATCTTTTACTTTTTCAAAAAAAAAAACAAATACTATCAACTTTTTGAGAAGAAAACCCTAAGCATGTCTCCATATCGCCGCCGCTCAAGCGAGTGGCCGCTGCCGCAGCACGTGTCCATCGTCGAAGCATTGAAGGTCCAAAATTCGTCCCACATGCCTGTTGTAGGAAAAGCGATGACGTCTGAAACCTTAGCTCCGCCGCCCACATTCGAAGTCTGACGGTCGTCATCTGCGTGGTTTAAGGCAGTCGCCAATAGGTGTGGAGGCTTTAAGGCTGCTGCTCATCTCTATTATGGTAATTGTTTCTACTCTGGCTCCAGGTCCCCTGTTTGACTTATGAATGACTCGTGAAAGTTACATTGGTCAAAAGAAAGGTTCTTAAACATTTTGCACACTCACGGTGGTCTTTCTAGTGCTATCCTTAGCAGTTTGTACCGACGGTGACTTTTGTCACTAGGTTCGGATGTGGCTTTCACCGAATTCTGGTGTGTTTTCCTCAGCTTTGAGATGAGCATACTAAGTTGGAATTGTAGGGGTTTGGGAAATCCAGCTACTACACAATGCTTCGTAGATATGACGCAGGCTAAAAGACCGTCGATAATTTTTCTGATGGAGACCAAATTGCATTGTCAAAAGGCGAAAGACATCATCAAGGCCTTCGACTTCCATGGAAGCTATGGAATCGATAGCGAAAGATTGAGCGGCGGACTATTTCTTGGATGGAGAGATGAGGTCGAAGTAGTGATTGTGAAGGGAGAGCCTAATTTCATTGAATGTCGAGTTCGAATGAAATCGAACGATCAGCCATGGCGGTTGACCGGCTTTTATGGCTTTCCGGAGACCCATCGTCGACGGGAAGCATGGGCATTGCTGAAGGACTTGGCCGTAAACAACAGTGAGCCGTGGATGCTTATTGGTCATTTTAATGATATTCTGTACGAAAATAAAAAGAAAGGGCGTATCCCCCATCCCCCGTGGAGGCTTCGCGGTTTTCGAGAGGCGGTTTATAGATGTGGTTTAAGAGATTTTCCATTTTCGGGTACCAGTGGACATGGGAGAGAGGCAAAGGTACCGCTTATTGGGTCGAAGAAAAACTTGATATAATATAATACTGGTTAATGATGATTGGTGGAACACTTTCATGGAGGCACAAGTGGCCTCTATTGAAGCCCCCGGGAAGTGACCATATGGCCCTATGGATGAAGATTGTTGTTACAAACAATGCTAGCAGAAAGAAAAGATTCAAGTTCGAAAATAATTGGGTGAAGGAAGAGGAGTGTCGCTTGGTGGTGACAAATTGTTGGGGAGCAGCGGCTCACATGACAATTAATGACAAGATTTCCTTATGTGGAAATGAGCTTGTTCGCTAGGACAGAGGCAGAAAGAGGGGATTCAGACATCAAATTCTGGCCTGCAAAAGGAGATTACCATGGCTGCGTGGGAAAGAGGATAGAGCAAGTGTGGCCAAATTCTTGAGGGTCCGAACAGTGCTTCAAATACTCATGGAAAAGGAGAACTTGTTTTGGAAGCAGAGAGCAAAAGAATTTTGGCTCAAAGAAGGTGATATTAATTCTCGCTTTTTCCATAATGCTGTTAACCAAAGGAGAAGAAGGAATATGATGACTGGTATCAAAATGGCGGATGGATCGTGGACTACTGATAGGGCAAAGTTGGAAACAACTGTCATGGATTATTTCTCCTCTCTTTTCCCGGCATCGGAGTCGAGTCAGTCTAATGATATCAGGGGGGGATTTTTCTCAGGTTACAGCTGATCAAAATAATATGTTATTAAAGCCTATCTGTCCGGAAGAGGTTAAAACAACTATTTTTGGCATGCACCCGAAGAAGGCGTCGGGCTCCGACAGAATGAATCCAGCTTTTTTTTCAGACCTACTGGGATGTGGCAGGATAGGAAGTTTCGGCCCTTTGTGCTAATATGTTCAATTCAGGTACCATGACTCCGAACATTAATATTACTAATATTGTTCTAATACTCAAAAAATATAAACCGGAAGTTATGGGTGACTGGAGGCCTATTGCGCTATGCAACGTGATATATAAAATTGGCTAAAGGGTCAAATAGGTACATGAACTAACTTAAAGTGTTCAATTAGCCCCTTATACAAGAGGTTCTGCTCGGCCATCGCCAATTAAGGCGGTTCCCGGTGGAATTTTTTGATGAAATGTTTTTAGCATCTTATTCATTAAGTCTAGTTTACTCATACCAAATTTCAGCTAAAAATTCAATCGGGAAGGCAGTCAAAAGATTTTTTGAAGATAACTGCGCAGTTAAACAGCGCAATACATTTCGGAAAATCATTTGACTGCCTTCCCGATTTCATTTTTAGCTGAAATTTGATATGGCTAAACTAGACTTAATGAAGAAGATGCTCAAAAAATTTTATCAAAAAAAAATCTATCGGGAACTGCCCCAATTGGCGACGGCCCGACAAAACCTCTTAAATAAGGGGCTAATTGAACACTTTAAGTTAGTTCATGTACATATTTGACCCTTTAGCCTATAAAATTTTTTCTAAAATACTAGCGAATCGGCTTAAAGGGATTCTGGATTTGTTGTTGGGGGAAAGTCAAAGTGTTTTCATACCTGGTAGATCTATTATTGATAACATTATCGTAGCCTTTGAGACTCAACATTTTTGAAAAGAAAGACCTATGGAAAGGATGGTTTTGTTGCTCTCAAGCTTGACATAAGCAAAGCGTATGATAGAGTTGATTGGAATTTCTTGAGAGGAGTTATGAGCAAGATGGGATTTAGTAGTCGATGGATTCATATTATTATGGAATGTGTCACTAATGTTAGCTACTATGTCCAGTTTGATGGAGATTTTCTGGGGCCGACTAGCCCGGGTCGGGGACTTCGCCAGGGGGCCTTCTATCCCCTTATCTTTTTATACTTGTTGCAGAGGGGCTAAGCGCCCTTTTACGTAAGGCTGAGCAGAAGGGAGATATTCATGGGGTGGCGGTGTGTAGGGGTGCCCCACGTGTTACACACTTGTTTTTTTGCGGATGATAGTTTCTTTTTTTTAAAGCGAGTAGTAATGAATGATGTGAAGTTAAGCAGATCTTGCAGAAGTACGAAGCTTGCTCAGTCCAGACAATTAATTTTGC